ATTTTTCTCAAATATTTTTTCTCATCAATATTTTTTCATATTCATATTTCTTTTCTTTTTCTTTCAAATATAACCTCTTTTTCTCTTTTCTATTCAAATATACTTTTTCTTTAGTATTCTCCTTTTTTATTCTTTTCAAATATACTTTTCTTTAATATTCTCTTTTTTCCTAAACAAAGAAAATAAGAAAAATAAAATAAAATAAAAAAATACAAAAAAGGGGGGGGGGGGGGTAACAGAGTACAAGGGTGTTAGTACAAGCAGAAACAAAAACAGCGAAACTGGGCCCAGCCCAGCAGCTGTTGCTGCAAAAACGAAGGAGGGTAAATGGTGAAATGGAGGGCGCAGACAGCAACAAGAAACTCATATTGGGCCCAGCCCAATGCCTTTCAGCAACAAAAACGAAAGGATGGAAAAAAAAAGCAATGGGCCTCGTAGCCCCCAAGCCCAATCCGGTCTATCTCCTCACCCTCTCCTTCCACTCTTACTCTGAAACCCTAGTGGACCTCTCACGGCGCCGCAAACCTTCCGTTCCCCATCTCCAATTCAAAATCTCTTCTCTCTGGTTAAACCTCATTCGCAGATCCACCCCTCACCAATTCTTCTTCTCCAAATAATCTCCATTTGATCGTACCATAAACCCTATCGCCTTAGTAATATCAGCGCAAACAATACCTATTGGGAGGATCTGGAGATTCAAGCTCCTTGAAGATCCTGAGCTTCGTTGAAGGCGCTTGAAGAGGATACTCGAAAACTGGAGAATCATGAAAGTCGTGAGGTTACCGGCCAGATGAAGATCCTTGGAGTTCGTGGATGCAAGAGGACGGATGAAGATTTCTGGATAAAGATCTTGGATCTTGGATGAATGCTCTTGAGTTGTTTTTCGAAGAAGATGGAGAACAGCGTTCTTGAAGAAGTTAGATGTTTCTGGAAACTTTATGATGAACCTGATGAACTCAAGAACTGATGAAGGTGAAGAATGTTGAACGAAGATCCTTTGAAGAATCTGGCTGAGGATTCTTGAGGACCAATGAGCAAATTCTGGGAAAAGACTGATGGAGGTTGATGAAGGTTGGAGGATCTTGAACGCGATTAGAGCTTGATGAAGAGTGTTGAACGATGAGGAGGTTTTCTGGACTTTCTGGAAAAAATGATGACGAATTTGATGGACATTGGATGAATCAGTGACCGGAGAAGATGAAGATCGGAGGCCATTAATGGTGGTTTGGACGAGAACTGGAGAATTTCTGGGTTTTTTGTGCCTCCGGCGAGCTAGACGGTGGCCGGAGGTAGTTGGTGGTCATCGGAGACGGTTGGAGCTGATGATCGTGGCGGCTGCATGACCGGCGACGAAGGGGAGGTGACCGGAGTCACGTGGCGTGCATGCAAATGGAAAGGGACGGAGGAGTGACACGCGGGGAGAGGGAGGCTGAGGTGAGGCCACGTGGAGAGGCGGGTGGCACGCTGAGGGAGTGTTTCTGCATGTGGCCCACGTGTCCTGGGGCGTGGCAGAGAAAGAGGGAGAGGGAGTGGTGAGGTGTCGTGATGGTGTGAAGTAACGTGGGGTCGCCTCTCGCTTACACGTGTGCTGAAGCTTTTAAATGCTGAGAATTCTCTGGGAGCTTCTAGAAAACTCTGGAAACTTGGACAGACTGAACTGAACTGGGCCTTACGTGAATTGGATATAGTGAGGCCCACACGAAAATGATTATAAAAATCCAAAAAAAAAAAAAAACTGAATGACACTGGATTAATAAATCTGGATTAAGATGCTAATAGACTAAACGAAAATGGAAATGAATTAAAGCTAAACGCGATTAGTATGAATTAAAAGGCCAATGACTAATTAAGACTAATTAATCTAATATTAAATCTACAAATCAAACTGTATTAATATCTATTAAAAGAAAATATTCTAGTATTCTAAACTATCTATTTAATACCCAAGTACAACTATTAATATCTATAAAACTAATATTAATAAAACTAAACTATTATATTCTAAAAAGATTCTATTAATCCCACTAATCTTAAAAAACTCTAATAAATCCACTAATCTAAAATTAAGCTAAAAACTCTAATCACCCTCTAATCTAAAAATTCTAATAAATCTCTAATAAAACCTATATTATTTTATAAAAGAAAATCTATACTATTAAAAAGAGAAATTATTTATTTATTTAAACTCTTAAAAGAAAACCTATTATTCTAAAAAGATAAAAGAATGATTTAAAGCTATTTAAAACTATTAAAAACAAACTATTAATATCCTAAAATGATTAAAATCTATTAAAATATCTATTAATAGCTAATAAAATCCAGAAAAATCACAATAATTCCCGAAGGAACAAAAATAGCACCGAACGACAAATAACACTGCGAGAACGCACAAAAATAGCCGGTAAAAATAAACGGACACCGAAACGTCCTCAAAAACACGATTCTATCTATCTAAATTGATTAAAAACACCTGAAACGCGAGACGAGGGCTGTGATCCCGATAAAATCAAAACAAATGAAATATGCACTGTATGCGATATGCAGATGCGAATGCGGTCATGCGTCGAAACATAGGACCAAATACGAGACCCGGTTGGTCAAATTTTGGGGTGCAACAGATAGTTGACTACTCGCTCCCGATCCACCATTGGACCAAAGCACATTAAAAATGTTATTGATTCCACCATAAAATTAGCAACGCTTCATTGATCCTACCACAAGCATCAATTAATCGCTCCCAATTCCACCATTGGACCAGAGCACACCACTGGATAAAAGTTTGTATACCATGAATGCATGATAAATTCACAACTCATAACATAACACTGATTTACTCTAGAACCTGAATACTTGCCAAATAAGGCCACCAATGCAACACAACATATTCATGCTTAATTATGACTCGCCATTGCATAATTTTATGAGCACAACAACACACATATTAATATACTCACAAGTAAAACACATCATTCAAATTTTCATATACATGTTTAATCTCTAAAGCATTATTATAAGGTAAATTTATGTGTATTCTATTCAACACTTTAAACTGCGTCTCAAATGGAGTCACGAAACTCAAGTTACGCTCGAAACGACATCACTTGGTACAAAATCCAAGGAGCTGCTATGGTCACCCATAGTAGTTGCTACAACCCATAGCACTCCCCCTTTTTGGGCACGCCTCTGGTACAAAATCCGAAGGGCTGCTATGGCCACATGTAGCAGCTGTTACGACGCGTAACAGTGCCTAGTAAGCCCAAAAATTATTTCACAATTTTGTGCGATTGCTTTCGTTTTCCAACCCTACATCATAACACAAACTTTGATTTTGACTTCTAATAGTTCAAAAACATATTGTACATGAAAACATATGAAATTTATCATATTTTAACATCTAAATCAACAATACCTCATCAATTGGCCATGATTATAATACCAAAACTCCGAAGCACGTGAACATCATCTCAATAAATTTATACACACCAAGACATATGCAATTCAACATCAAAATCAGCATACAAAATCACAATTATCAAAGCACATGGATTAAGTTTCATATAAATCTTTCTTCAAACACATCAAGCATTCAACAATGGTGAAACAAATAAGAAAACCTAGAGGAGGATTAAGGAGTCCTCACTACCCTTTTATGAAATTAACACCATTAATTGAGTAGTTTTCCCCTTACCTCATATTTTAATATAAAAAAAAGACTCTAACTACGACTTCCTCTTTTTCTTCCTCAATCTCTTGCTCTTGTTCTCCAAAAGTTATTTTCTCAATTTCTCACGTACTGCTCAAACTTACTCAAGCTCCCATAATCTCATCACATACTTTATTTATTTAACCTAATTTCAACTTACTAATAATCCTACCATAACATAACTTACTTTTATTGTTACCTACTTATCCCCACCTTTTTACTAAATCCAAATTTCTCCTAAATCTCACTATTTGTTATTTTCTATTTATTTAATTATAATTATATTATTTTGATTAAATAAATAAATTAAAATTATAATAACCCCAAGCACCACATACCATATACCAACACCAAATAAATTATTAAAACATATTAAATTATTTAAATAATTAAATAAAACAACAAACTTAATTGATTTCAGAATGTTACCTAGTGCTATCTTAGTAGTTAGTAATGTTGAATATTGGTAAGTGTATATGATTTGAGAGTCCTATTTTTCTCTAGGGCCTATAAAAAAATACTTTGTCTTAAATTATAAGTTATTTTATTAAAAAAATTTGTCTTAAATTATAAATCATTTTACATTTCTGATGTAATATTGATGACATTTTTCTCAATATATTCTCAAATATTTATTATTATTTATTTTTTTAACTCTTTTAATTTCTCTCTTCTGTATAATTATGAGAGACACTGTTCTAAAATCATATATAATTTATTTTTCCCATTAAATAATAATTAAATTTTTTAATTTATATGAAATAATGAAAACTTATTATAATTTGGGATGGTGGGGTTACACATGAACTTGATATTCCAACTATTTAATTGATTTCAATACAATGTAATATTATTGTAACATAATAACATAATTTTTAGAAATAACTTTTTTCATTTTTTCGATTACTTTTTAATAAACAAATTATAAAAGTTAGTAATAAATATTAAATTAAAATAAGAAATTATTATTGAAATAGTGAAAGAGGCCGCCCAAAAACAAGACATTTGGGAAAAAAAATTGTTTTCAGAGTATTTTAAGAATGTTTATTAAAAAAAAGAAAACTCAATTAAAACTGAAAAAAAATAATAGAAAAAAAAAAATAAAAACATGAACCGTCCTTTCAAATACATAAACAAATCAATCACATGTACTAGAATGTACTGTAGTAACTAAACAATGTTCGAGATCCTTCTCCAACGTTCTTTCTCTTGTTTTTTTATTCATCTCATTTTTTACTTTTTCTCTTCATTCATTCCTCTCTCTCTAACAAAAGTTTTCATTTGAATTGAGTTGATGATGGCTTCCGAATCTGAACTTTCCTATATCTTTGAAAGAATGATCAGAAACAGAGACATGTCTCTGTTATTACCCTTCATCCAAGGTCTTTCCGAACCTTCAATTCGAAGAAACAGTGACAACCCAGATCAAGAATCTTCCAGTAACGAAGATTCCGACCGTCAAAGAATCATCTTGGTGAATCCTTCTACACAGCGTATGATTATAATCGAAGGAGTTTCAAGTCTCGAAACTCTGTTTCAGGAACTTGAAAGTACTAGAAAGAAAGGTCAGCCACCAGCTTCAAAGGAGTCGATAGAAGCTATGAAAAGGGTTGAAATTGAAGAAAGTGATGATAGAGAGTGTGTTGTTTGTTTGGAGGAGTTTGAGGTTGGTGGAGTTGTTAGAGAAATGCCTTGTGAGCATAGGTTTCATGGTGATTGTATTGAGAAGTGGTTAGGAATTCATGGGTCTTGTCCTGTTTGTAGGTATCAGATGCCTGTTGATGAGAAAGTTGAGGAAAAGAAAATTGATGAAGAAGAAGAAGATGGAGAGAGAGGGAGGGTTGGTGGTGAAGTTTGGGTTAGTTTTTCTATTAGTAGGAGAAGGGAAAATCGTGATCAAAATCAAGTTACTCCGGGTGGTGATTCAATTGATTCTTTGTCAAGCCCTAGTGATGGTGATGAGATTAGGAATTCATCTTGATTTTTGTTTTGTTAGGATAAAGGTTTTCAATTTGTTGATGTACATGTATAGGTTCAAATGCACAAATTTCTTTTTACATGTGGGAATAAATAATTATATTTTGCTTACTTTTCTTTCAATTCTTGCAAATCTTATTTAATGGTTCAAAAGTGAAGTTAATTTGGACTTAATTGGAATGAGAGATTTACAAAATAAACAAAAAGAAGAGAATTTTCTTAGTCCTAAATGATGCCTTGTTTTTGCTTCACAGTTAACAAAGAAATTCATATTATGTGTTTTCTCTGACATTCAAATAAGAATCTGTTTCCCTTTCTTGTAGAATCTTGAGTCCTTGATACCTTCCTAGCATCAAGAGTGTAGCCATAGGATTTGTACCTGGTGACTCAGAAAAAGTTGAGCCATCCAATACTCTTAACCCCTTTATGCCATGAACTTTGTAGTTCTTATCAATTACTGATCCAACACTGCAACCACCATGATAGTGATAGATAGTTCTCACATTTTTCTTACAAAACTTTCTCAAATCAAACTCAGTAGATGCCAATTTGTTTTGCTGAGTCTCACCAAGGAAAAACGCGATTGACTTTGACCTTGCAATTCGATTTAGTAGTTTCGTCATCTTAATGCATTCTTCCATATCGTCTTCGTTTTCGAGATAGTTGAATTTCACAGAAGGGTTAAGCCTTGGATCTGTGTTGTTTAGTTCAAGATACCCTTTTGAAAATGGCATAGCTATCTTTGCGGCAATGTTAACCCTTGATTCGTTGATGCTTAAGGGAAGTATTGATGCTTCGATAATGATTTTGAAGTCTTCTGTTATGCCTGCTATTTGTGGTGGATCGGGAAGCCTGTTTTCTGGCTTAGAATCAACCAAGATTGCTATGCAAGGATTGTCTTGCATTCCTTGACCAACCTCTTTCATTTCATGAACTAGTGGAATGTTGAAGCTTTTCAGTTGTTCTTTTGGTCCTATGCCACTTAGCAGCAATAGTTGAGGACTGCCTAATGCACCTGCTGATAATATGACATCACCTCTTGAAGTTGAGTTCTTTGGTTTCTTGATGTAGGCTTCATAGGTTTCATCTAAGTTTCCATTACTTTTGATGAATTTGATTCCCTTGGCACTTGTTTCATTCTTGTCGCCTACAATATTTGAGTGGTCAAAATTATAAGCCAAAACTTAATTGTAAATTGAAAAATGCTAATGCTACTTGTTCATTACAAGTAGCCATTAGAAAAGTTCTTAATTTTCTTTTACATACCATTATGGTGGAAGATGATACTCTTAACTGTGGCATTCACAAGAACAGTGAGATTCTTCGGATTTCCAGCATCTAGAAGATCAGCCGAGGTATGTCTCTGTCCGAATCCATCAAACACACTCCCAGAAATCTTAGTTCCCTTGATATGCTCCAAACTATAACCATTGTAAGGTAAAATTCCTGTTTCAAGAAGACTAAATTCAGCAACAGATTGCCATGGTGTTAGGAAATACGGAGGAAAAACAACTTTCGATTCAACCCATTCGTAAGCTTCTTTAACTAACATCTTATCCCAACCAACTTTATCAACAAACTCTTTACTCGCTCTACTATAAAATCCACCATTTATAGCCGATGATCCACCGAGAACTCTTCCTCTTACATTGTCAACACCGTCCTGCGAGGTGAATCGTTGTGCTACTGTCGTATGGTGGCTGTTCTTTTGAATCAATGGAAAACCATAGTATCTTCTATCAATCACCAAGGGATTTCCATATGGTGAACCACCTCTTTCGATGAGTAGCACAGAAAAGTTATGTGATAATGTAGCAGCTAATGGACAACCACATGTTCCTCCTCCAACTATAATGTAGTCATATGATTTACCTGCCACTTCTTCAACATTTGAAGTCATGTGCCATTGTCTTTTACCTACATTGTGGAGATTCAATCAAAGGTCAAAATCATGTTTCAAGCCTATAAAAAAAGCAGACGCTCTAAGGCGGTTACAAGAAACCATAGACACAAAACTAGACGAGTTTGTGTCGTGCCAGTTTCAGACACTGACACATGTCAAACACTAGATATACTATACATTAGATACACCATTAGACACGAACATACCTTGTGAATGTAATGACACAAGTGTTGTGACTTATGGCGGTTATAGACATACCTTGAGGTTCGGAAGGAAAAGAGACAACACAATTTGCAAGTATCAGCAACAAAAACAATAATGAGAGAGGCTTATGCTTATGGACATGTTTGATATGTGGAAGTTCCATGAATAGGTATTTCAATTAGTTAATGCATTTGGTTTGTGAGTTGAGGAAAAGCATGATTTATTTGCAAATGTGGATGGTTTTTCATTTTCAAGCTGGTGAGACTTTATGATTAAAGTTTCTATAATCAAGTATATTTAGAAAATGCGCATGGTAAAAACTTAATCATTCATTGTTTGTTTAGCTGGCGACAACCACTGTTTGTTAAAGGTATGATGTTTTTCTCTGACCTGGAATGATAGTCTGGGTAGAACTTCATTCACATTTCAGGTAGGGAATAGGACGATGAGAAGAATATATTGTGTTAAATAAATATCTTACTATCAAGTGTTTTAAGAAATTGGACATATAAATTTAACCGTATCTTAAAACTTATGTTAAAATAATAATTTTAAAATTTTAAAAAATGAATACAGAATTTTGAAGATAATTTTTTTATTATGCTTTCTTAAAATTATTAAGACACTGATTAATATGTTAGTTTTTTGAGATTTAGGTAAAGGGTAAAAATAAGTTTGTATGTGTTAAAAGATAATAGAATGGCTCATTCTTCCCACAATGAAGATGAGTTGTAGAGAAGAAGGAAAAGAGATAACAGAAGATCTGTTTGAAGAGTCAAGCTTGTGTTTCATTCATTAAAGTGAAATGTAATACATGGTTAAACTTATATACAAGTAATATATCAAGTAACAAAATGTAACTTTACACATTTAATAATACAACTTAGTCTAAAGTCTTGATATCTCTAACAATAGACCTGTACATATGAGCATTAGAAAACACATTGGAGCCATGCTTGCTCAACCTACAGGTACTTAACATAGGAGTTGGGACTCTGTTTGCATTAACCAATTTTGCCATTGCTAGTAAGTTTTTGATGTACTTGGAGTGAGTAAGAAGAAGTGAGTCATTTTTGCAATACTTGACTTCAATGCGTAGAAAGTAACTAGGTCTGACCAGTTTTTTCAGGGAAAATGTGTTGTGCAGTTTGTTGATTAGATTACGAACAAGAGTAGAACTAGATCCAGTGATTAAAATATCATCAACATAAACTAAAACATATATAAAAATTCCTTGCTTGCAGTAAACAAAGAGAGAGGTATCACATTTGGATGTAGAGAAACCAAAATGAATAAGGGCTTGAGTTAGTTTCTCATACCAAGCCCTTGGGGCTTGTGTGAGGCCATAGATGGCCTTATTGAGCTTACAAACCAAGGTTTTATCTTTGCTCACAAAACCAAGTGGTTGAGTCATGTAGACTTCATCATGGAGTATGCCATTGAGAAATACATTGTTTATGTCAATATGTTGGATATCCCACTTATATGTGATAGCTAGAGTTAGAATTACTCTAATGGTGGTAGGTTTAACAACAGGAGAAAATGTTTCTGTATAGTCAAAACCATGTTCTTGGTGGTACCCTTTTGCTACAAGTCTAGCTTTGTGTTTGAGCAAACTTCCATCAGAGTTTTGTTTAACTTTGAAAACCTATATACACCCTACTATTGTTCTATTTTGAGGGAGAGTAGTAAGAGTCCGAGTATTTTTGGCTTGGAGAGCATTAAATTCAGCTTTCATGGCTTGTGACCACTCAAGAATAGCCAAGGCTTGTTTGACACTTGTGGGTTCAATCTTAGTGTGAGCAATGAATGTTTTAGTTTAGAGTGACCTGTTTTAGCTCTAGTGAGCATGGGATGATTGTTTTGAATAGGGTGACATGAGGTGGACTCAAATGTATTAAGGGAGAATTAGAGGATGCAAACAAGGGAATGTGGGAAGAAAGAGTAAGCTCATTAGATTGAAAAGAATGGTTGAAGGCTTGATTATCAAAATGGACTTGAGGAGAGGGAGTAGTACATAAAGGAAATGATGCAGGTATGTGATTTGTGTCTTGGTTACCCTTAGGATAACTAGTCATAATGTGTGCAGGATTGAGGTTATTAGCTGTTGGGTAAGATGAAGTTTCAGAAGTACTGAGTTGAGCATTGTCCTTAGGACAATGTGTAGGAGGTGATTTGTGACTAGAAGGTGGGGCATTGGATTGATTAGGTGTCAGGTCAGAAGGACCAATATCACGGGATATGTGAACAGGTGGGACAGGTCTACTGCTGTGAATAACTTGACTAGATGTACTAGGGTGATCAGGATAAGGTTGTACATTGTTCATGCTATGGTCCTGATTGACAGCCTGTATAGGACTGTGTGGACCAGATCATGAGACAGGGCTGATTGGAGTAAGGGCCTCTAGATTTTTGGGTTGAGAAATAATGCCTACTATTGGAGAGACATCGGTAGGATCAACACTAATAGTAGTAGGTGCACATAAGCGTGTCAAACCTCCTGGTGACACAAATTCTTGTTGTGATTTTTTGCCAGGAAACAAAGCAGGAAAAGGAAAATAATGCTCATTAAACTTAACATCTTTAGAAACAAAAATTATGCCCTCCTTGTGTTAGCTCCTAAATTCGACACCTCTTGCAAAGTAAGAAATCTAAGGGGAAGCATTAAAAGTCTGCTGGAGGCGAGAGTTGGTCGAAGAATGTGAGACATCTAAGGGGGAGTAGTCGAAACACGCACCATACTTAAAGAAAAATCATGAGGGTTTCGACCGCGACGTTGTTGGTAGTTATTTCGAAGATTTGAAATTCAAATAATTTGGAGGGAATGGTTCCGTTCGCCAGATAACTAAGAGGACACATGGCACCCTATGAGCGACATATCCATGCATCACGACACA